GCCTTTTCCAGCTTCTAGTGGCCACCTACATTCCTTGCTTTATAGATCTCTTCCTCCATCTTTGAAGCCAGCAATGTTGCATCTCTCTGTGCCTTTATTCCATACTTGTATCTTCCCATAACTTTGACCTCCATGGCTCCCCACTTCTTCCACCTTTATGTACTCCTATCATAATATTGGACCTACCCAGATAGTCCAGGATAATTTCTAATCTCAAATCAGAAGCTCACTAACGACCTTAATTTCATCTATAACTTTAATTCTCTTTTGGCATACAACATAACATATTCCTAAGTTTCAAGGATGGACATTTTGGGGAGGTGGCTATTATTCTGCCTACGAAATAGCTATACTAGCATTTCTAAATCTGAAGCAAATCTAATAAGTGTCAGGTGCAGCACCGTTGTTAATATCTGGTGCAAAATTCAGTCTGTTTCTTCCCATATCAGTTAAGTGATTATAAGATATCACCAGGAATACAAATAAATGTTTCCTTCTTTGTTTGTTTAGATTCAATCATAGATATTAAGGTATCAGCTCAATGGTCACATATTTGTTCCCTTTGTCTCCATCCATTTATTGCCTGAACTATTTATTGTCTATTGTGTTCTTAGAGGCTTCATAATCCATCTTCAGAGTAGTAGATCCTTCAACTTCATTCTACCACCTGTTCAAATGTTTAACCATTGTCAGAAAATTCTCTTAGTCTCCATGGAGATGGAGAGGAAGACTACAGAGTAAATAAAATCCCTTTTAAGTATTAGAAAACCGTGATTGAGTTATCAGGGACATTTCCTACAAGGTAAATAATCCACATTCCATCTTAGGTGCAATTATTTTGGCTGTTTTCCTTGGGAGCCTCGCCAGTTGTCTTTCTTCATCCTAAGAAAAAAGTGTTCCACAGGTGCACATAAAATACCATGAGGAACATTTTTTTCCTCCCTCTTTGGATATTTCTGAGTGGTTCCATTGTCTTTTGCTTTTATTACTATTATTAGCCTCATAAAAAAACCCAACAACATATATTTTATTATAGCATTTTAGTTAAGGCCATTTTATAGTTAGAATGCTTGAGATAGCCTTGACTAGGAATTTTAGAAATAGGAAACCACCATAAGCAAACAATAGGAATAGAGGTTTCATCACTGGTGTCCATACTATAAAGTCTTTGCTTATATTTGTGTTTTAGTTGTTTACTCAACTAGCAATGGACATGTTAGAAGCTAAGTCATTGAGGGTGTTTAACTAGAACAAGAAGGAAGATTTCAGAATCTTTAGCACTGAAGGTATTTAAAAGGAAGAGATGTAACACATATTATATATAAAGTGAGGTTGCTAAAGTAGTGCAGCCACTGTGGTAAACAGTTTAGTAGTTCCTCAATAAGTTAAACACAAAATTACCATATTACCTAACAATTCTACTTCTAGATATATATCCCAAAGAATTTAAAACATGTAATGAAACAAATACTTGTATATGAATGTTTATAGCAGCACTATTCAAAATAGCCAAAAGGTGAAAACAACCCAAATGCCCATCAGCTGATGAATCGACAATCAAGTGTGGTATATCCAAACAATGGGATATTATTCAGTCATAAGAAGAAATGAAGTACTGATACAGTCTGTGCCATGAAAGAACTTTGAAAACATTATGCCAAGTGACACAAAAGACCACGTGTTATATAATTCTATTTCTCTGAAATATCTAGATAGGTAAATCCACACATACAAAAAGGAGATTAGTGGTTTCCAGGGCCAGTGGGGAGGGTTGAGTGGGGAGTGACTGCTAATGTGTATGGGCTTTCTTTGTGGGGTGGTGATGAAAATGTTCTGGAATTAGATATTGGTGGTGGTTGTATAACCTTGTGAAAATACTAAAAACTACTGAATTGTACACTTTAAATGGGTGAACTTTATGATATGTGAATTATATCTCAATAAAGCTGTTATTTTTTAAAATTGAGGTAGAGCTACATTTATGTGAACCCTACCAAGAAATGACTACTAGATACTGTACTGGTCAGCTTTTCATGAGAGTATTGGGTAAATATCTAAGTGTCATAACTTAAGGAAAAAAAGTAAAGACCAAAACCAAAATAGAACCTTCAAACCCAGCAGGGGTCTGAGGAGGGTCATAAGGAATTGGAAATAAAGACCTATAGAGAAAAGTTTGAGGAATTTTAGATTATTCTGCCTGCTGAAGCCAAATGCCATAGGATATAATCCTGGAGAGGAGAATTTGAGGCTTTGACTATGATTCAGTGAGAGTCCCAGCAGGAATGACATGTCACACTCATAAGTGTTCACTGCAGAGAGTTTGAACAAAGGCATGGGCAGAGTTAAGGGAATCCACAAGGGATGGAGACCTGCCCAGGGGCTGGCAACAGTGTGAAGCGTTCTGGACTTGCAAGGGAAAAAAGAGTGGAAGATGATACACAAGACCAGAGACAGCTTGAGGATTTGGAAGAGGGGCTCTTTGGCAGGAGCTGCTATCTTCTAATGTAGTCACTACCAGAACTGCAGTAAAGCAGGGAGAGGGATACATAATCTGACATTGTTCTCCTTCCAACCTGTAGTCTCCAGATGGCGCCACTCACTGACCAAATCAAATGGGAAGCCAGAGGGCAAAGGTGTCCAGGCAATGCAGTCCATAGAATCCAACCTCAACACAATGAGTAAGAGGTGCAACGTTTGGGGGATGGACATGCTTAAAGCTCTTACTCAAGGGGGGAGAGGGGCATGGGCAATATATGTAACCTTAACACTTGTACCCCCATAATTTGCTAAAATAAAAAAAATTATAAAAAAACAATAAAAAAAAAGAATCCAACCTCTCAGAGCAGAGGGGGGCAGAAAAGAGACTGTGTGTGTGCGTGTGTGTGTGCGCGTGTGTGTGTTTGTGTGTGAGGGAGGGCAAATGAAGAGTAAGTAGCACAGAGCGTCTGCCTGTTACACCCACAGCCCCCTTAGAGAAGCTGAGGCAATAAACACCTGCATAGGCTCCATGCTTTATATCATGTGATCCCAATATCCTGGCGATAGCACAACTGAAGAAAACAACACCAATAACTGACATCTGTTGAGTGCTTTCAATGTGCTGGGCACTTTATATTACTTACCTTATTATGATTTAATCATCATTCATAACAAACCCACGAGCAACATAATCTTTATGATACTGATTTTATAGATGGAAAAACTGTGGCATTTGGAGATTAAGTAATATTCCCAATGCCACATAGATAGTAAGTAGAGATGGGATGATTTCAACCCAGGGAGGTGGTCTCTTAACTACTATACTCACTGGAATAGGGAATGAGCAGGACCCTGTAGACTGGCCAGTGACCTCAGTGGTAGCCTAATGGTAGAGTTCTGCCTTACAGGGGTGTTCTATATGGTACAGTGACTGGCTGACATGATATGATATTCTCTCTAAAAGAAATATGAATGCAAGATACAGAGGAAGTTTGCAGACTGTAGGCTGTGAAGAGCTGTGAGAAAAGGAAGGCAGTTGGTACAACAGGAGAAGAGATGAACTCTGTCACAAATGTGGCCAAGTCTCCACTGTGGGAAGACTTGGACTTCTGTTGCAGAAGGAACAACTAGAGCTGTTTTTGAGTTGACAGTAGATGCTGGCCTTCTAGAATTACAATGTATCCTGAACAGAGCTGTAAGTCTGTGATGCCTGCCTGTGAGGCTGCTGATGCTGTTTCATGCTTTCTTACTTTTTCACATGTCTTTACAATAATTCTCTGTTAACTGAGGAAATAGGAACCTGTCTATGTTCTTTGCATTCCAACAAAGGCCAACATAGATGAGTTAATTATTTAAATATATGATGGTCACTTGGGCAGAGAAGGGACACTAGTCTTTTTTTTTCTCTCTTTCTCTCTATTTTCCTTTAAAAAGAAAGACAGAAAATTGACACACAGTTGTCTAAAAAATATAGGTCAGCTATACGAGAGTTGTTCCATGATAGACACTTCCAAGGGTGTATGTGAAAATGTTTCCTCTGGAGAGCTTTAGAATAGTCTTCTCATATGTCCTAGGGTGGTTTCCATGAGATATTGCCTGAAGGCACAAGGATCAATGGCTTCCAACTGCAGGTCCACAGACCTGCACCAGGTCCCTTAGGAAGTTTTCCCTGTCTTCTACAGAGTGAGAGAAATAAAGACTTTGGTGTTAGTCTGTCTCTTTCTCTGAGTGTCAGGGTTAGATTGCTTACCGTCATTTCTTAAGATAGACTATTTTCCTTTTTTTGGTGTTAAGATATTCCTCATTTTTAGAATTATGGTTGTGGTAGGAAATAGTATATTACAGTGAGCTTTTTTCTCTTTTTAAAATATTCTTACTTGACAAAATAAAAAACTGGCAAATCCATCTTAGTCTAATTTTTTCAAAATGCCATTTGTCTAAGAAAATTACATATCTGAAAACCATAGGCCTAAAAAATCTCTTAAGGTCCCTGTTATGTATAAAATTCTAGGTTTTAAAGTCTTGAGATTACAAAAAATCAAAAGGAATAGGAAGGCAGGATGAGTTTTTATTTAACCTACAGAAATAACAAGTTAATGGAGTCTAACTATCTTAGACATAAAAGATAATAAATGGAGATGCCTATAAGTTAGAATTTTGTAGTTTCTAAGTGGAAATGACATTCTAAATGTCAAATCCAAAAACATGGCCTAAAGAACGCCACACCAAAGGTCACAGTTAGAAGGCAACATTCAGCTCTGGAGACAGTTACAAGTCAGATATTGCGTGATTCCACTGGTATGCAGCCATCATGAAAGGGGAACTAAAATCATTTTGAAGCAAAAATGTGTCAAAAGGGAACTCTAAATGGGCCCAAAGGGAGTGTTTAAATGAAAAAAATGCCTTAGATCCTTTAAACAGAAGAAAATCAATAATTATTCCAAATACAAATTAATATGCAACTAGCATATTCTGTTTTGTGAACATAATACTGCTATTTATATAGAATGAGTGTAACATACCTAAAGCCTCTGCCAAGCCCCAAACCCTCTGTCCATAGATGTCAGTCTTATTCCAGGCAAACGTGTAGACGAGATTAACTGCGGCAGGAAACCACTTCTGTGTGAGTCGCCCTTCCACAGCTACAGTGAGGTGTACTTTTATCATCCCGACGGGAATTGTTGAATGTGTCAGAAGGATCCGTAGCAGCGTTTTGTAGCCAGGGGTGCGGCTGCTCAGGTAACTCAGCCTCACAAAGCTAGAAGGAATGGGGATTTCCTCCTGTACAACCTGAAAGAAAACAAAAGCCAAATTGGCTCTTAGCAGTGGTCATAGGCAGATGAGGTGATTGCATGCTTTATTGTCTGAGAAACATGCCAAAGGAGAGATCCTACAGGGATCTAACGATGTCAAGGCATTTGTTTCCGAATCTTTGTGAGATTGTGTGACCACAGGTTTCAACTTTTGCACCAAATCCGCATGGGGACAAGATATCCACACAACCCTAAGGATTGCTCTCATTTTCACCCTACCAGGAAAGACTGTGTAAAGAACAATTTCAGTCTTTCAACTGTGTTCCAAAAATTGCTTAGTAGAAGTTGGAGAAGATCACACTGCTGAATGTCAAGCAATTCAGTGTTATGGGCTCCATTAAGGGGTCTTTTTCTTGTATATGCATACACAAAATCTTCTTTAGTGTTAAGTCATATATCACAATACTATTGCTGCAATTCTTATTCAAGCTAGACTCTCTAAGGGGAAGGACTCCAGAAACAGGCCCAGCAAGTGATATTTTATGACAAAGATTATGGTTTCCTTAGAATTAATCTTTACTGATGCCATCAAATTCGTTTTCTTTGGAGTTTTGAAATGACCCTGAGGCCAATTTTTTAATCAATTTTTTCTTCTATACTTCTCTGTGCCTGGATGAACCAATGGCTGGGAACAAGTTGCTCCAAGTTGGCATCTGTGACTGAGAAGCAAATAATTCCCACTAATTCCTCTGCAAATTTTTATACTAAACGTCGGTCTCAGAGTGAAAATACCACATGGCTTCTTTAAATAATTGCTATTGCTTATTGCTTAGCACTACAGATAAAGTTAAATAACCAAGGGTTTTAACTAAAACCAAATCTTGTGTTTCATGACTTTCATCTTTCAATATGCATCTGAAGAAAAAGCCCATCCTGTTGAACACATTTATGGTGACATGGAGAGTGCTGATATTTTTGTGCCCTTATTCATTTTTACCTCAGAACCTTGTCTCCTCTTACTTTTCCATACTTGTGCATATAGCAGACCTGATTGTTAAACACATGGTATCTCATCTTGTACAGGATTTTAAGTCACTCGCCTGTTTCTGAGGACACAATTCCTCTTGTATACACTTTGCCCAGTTTTTCTTCTACATTAGCCATTTGATATCAGAGTTGCCCTCTGGCTGTCTTCTCAAATGGTGGTGGAAGTATAATGGAAAAGAATAGCATGACATTTACCACCTTAGTATTTCATTTTCCTAAAGAAACATGCAATCCCAGATAAGTTGGAAAACCTTTGTGCTGAAAGAAGACCTGTACTTCCTAATGACATCTGTGAAGGAATTGGTGTACCAATCAAATGTGCTTATTAAATACTGTTTTGTTTTTTCTTCATTTCTAAGGAAAAGCAATGTAAAAGACAGGAGGGGTAGCTCTTTGGGCTGCTTTTTCTATAGAGCGCTATTTTTGTGTGAGTCATTCCTATGTGGCAGCCTCTGGGCACTGCTAAAGCTGGTGAGGATATGATGATGGAAGAACCACCAATTCAACCTTGGAGTGTCCATTTGCTTCTTTTTGAGTATACTTCTTGATTTTTGGATCTGTAAGATTTATGAGCCCATTTTGGTGGCCTCTACATTGAACTCTCATTAAAATGTTTCTGTAATGTGGTAAGGGAATTGTACCACAGATGTTTAAATGGCTTGATATTAAAACGACATTATTGGATACTTAATAAAGAAGAATTCTCAGGAATGCTAAAATATCAAGGTTCAAAAAATATTTTCTCCTGACTATAAAGTTTGAAAACTCAGAAACATATTTTTTAAAAAACCCACAGGCTTGAAAACTATCTTTACTAAATATAGCTAAACAAGACAAGTTGTCATAACTTCCAAAAACAATGACAATGGATGCAAACTAGATAATGGAAGAAAACTAGATTTCTTAAGGAGCTTTAGTTTCAGAACCATGAATAGTCCAAGCTCATTGACTATCTTGTTACTACTATTAAGCCAGCTAACTTTATTCTTTAGTGCAGTGTTCATTACATCATAATTTGGGGTTTAATTCTCATGACAGCTAGTTCATTTTACTCTGTTTCATGGCCACAGATAGCACCCTAATGCCCTGGGCAATCACCTTGCAAACATGTGCCAGAGAAGCTACATTTGAAAGTTTCTCAAATAAAGGGAAGCACACTATATGGCTGGCAGGAACAAGAGGAAAAAAATTAGGCATTATACACTGTTGACCATACCGTGATACTATGATTTCATACATTCAAAGGCCAATATACCTACCTGCAGTTCAGGAACAATAGTTCCCCTCTCTGGACAGGACCCTCCAAATGATGTGAGTGGTGAAGGAAGTACGATAGGGTTTGGGCTGATAAAGTTGGAGATATCACAGGATGGTGGGTCTGATATAACTCTCTGCATGGTTACTTTCTCCACCACAATAAACTGATTCCATGGCAACCAGAGCGTCCTCTTCTCAGACAGGAAAGGTGATCGGTCAAAGATTAAGATGACAGAGATACCGCCAATGGCTACGAGATCAAAGCTGAGAAGGAAAAAATATAAGACAGTTTCAACCAAATGAATAATCAAAATAAAATTCAAGATAAAAAATTAGGTTAATTTTAGTGTCCTTTCCTTTTTGGGGGACTCACCCATATCTACTTGTATTCTCTATTATATATATATGATATGTGTGTGGGGGTATATATATATATATATTAATACTGCTATTTATATAGAATGAGTGTAACATACCTAAAGCCTCTGCCAAGCCCCAAACCCTCTGTCCATAGATGTCAGTCTTATTCCAGGCAAACGTGTAGACGAGATTAACTGCGGCAGGAAACCACTTCTGTGTGAGTCGCCCTTCCACAGCTACAGTGAGGTGTACTTTTATCATCCCGACGGGAATTGTTGAATGTGTCAGAAGGATCCGTAGCAGCGTTTTGTAGCCAGGGGTGCGGCTGCTCAGGTAACTCAGCCTCACAAAGCTAGAAGGAATGGGGATTTCCTCCTGTACAACCTGAAAGAAAACAAAAGCCAAATTGGCTCTTAGCCCCAAGAGCTTTCAGTAAGTTGCTGTGAGCTATGATGATAACACTACACTCTAGTCCAGGAACAGACTATATATATATATATATATATATATATATAATATATAATACCAACCCAACACATATCATATTAATAATAGCCAGAATACAAGTAGATATGGGTGAGTCCCCAAAAAGGAAAGGACATAAAATTAACCTAATTTTTTATCTTGAATTTTATTTGATTATTCATTTGGTTGAAACTGTCTTATATTTTTTCCTTCTCAGCTTTGATCTCGTAGCCATTGGCCGTATCTCTGTCATCTTAATCTTTGACCGATCACCTTTCCTGTCTGAGAAGAGGACGCTCTGGTTGCCATGGAATCAGTTTATTGTGGTGGAGAAAGTAACCATGCAGAGAGTTATATCAGACCCACCATCCTGTGATTTCAACTTTATCAGCCAAACCCTATCGTACTTCCTTCACCACTCACATCATTTGGAGGGTCTGTCCAGAGAGGGGAACTATTTCCTGAACTGCAGGTAGGATATTGGCCTTTGAATGTATGAAATCATAGTATCACGGTATGGTCCAACAGTGTATAATGCCTAATTTTTTCCTCTTGTTCTGCAGCCATATAGTGTGCTTCCCTTTATTTGAGAAACCTTTCAAATGTAGCTTCTCTGGCACATGTTTGCAAGGTGATTGCCAGGGCATTAGGGTGCTATCTGTGGCCATGAAACAGAGTAAGATGAACTAGCTGTCATGAGAATTAAACCCCAATTATGATGTAATGAACACTGCACTAAAGAATAAAGTTAGCTGGCTTAATAGTAGTAACAAGATAGTCAATGAGCTGGACTATTCATGGTTCTGAAACTAAAGCTCCTTAAGAAATCTAGTTTTCTTCCATTATCTAGTTTGCATCCATTGTCATTGTTTTGGAAGTTATGACAACTTGTCTTGTTTAGTATATTTAGTAAAGATAGTTTTCAAGCCTGTGGGTTTTTAAAAAATATTTCTGAGTTTTCAAACTTTATAGTCAGGAGAAAATATTTTTTGAACCTTGATATTTTAGCATTCCTGAGAATTCTTCTTTATATAAGTATCCAATAAATGTGTTATTTAATATCAAGCCATTTAAACAATCTGTAGGTTTCACACATCCCTTACCACATTACAGAAACATTTTAATGAGAATTCAAATGTAGAGGGCACAACAAATGGCTCATAAATCTTACAGATCCAAAAATCAAGAAGTATACTCAAAAAGAAGCAGAATGGACACTCCAAGTTGTGATTGGTGGTTCTTCCATCATCATATCTCACAGCTTTAGCAGTGCCCAGAGGCTGCCACATAGGAATGACTCACACAAAAATAAGCACTCTATAGAAAAAGCAGCCCAAAGAGCTACCCTCTGTCTTTTACATTGCTTTTCCTTAGAAATGAAGAAAAAAAAAACAGTTATTTAATAAAGCACATTTGATTGTTACACCAAATTCCTTCACAGATCTCATTTAGGAAGTACAGGTCTTCTTTCAGCACAAAGATTTCCACTTATCTGGGATTGCATGTTTCTTTAGGAAATGAAATACTAAGGTGGTAAATGTCATGCTATTCTTTTCCATATATACTTCCAACCATTGAGAAGACACGCCAGAGGGCAACTCTGATATCAAATGGCTAATGTAGAAGAAAAACTGGGCAAAGTGTATACAAGAGGAATTGGTCCTCAGAAACAGGCGAGTGACTTAAAATCCTGTACAAGATGAGATACCATGTGTTTAACAATCAGGTCTGCTATATGCACAAGTATGGAAAAGTAAGAGGAGGACAAGGTTCTGAGTAAAAATGAATAAGGGCACAAAATATCAGCACTTCCATGTCACCATAAATGTGTTCAACAGGATGGGCTTTTTCTTCAGATGCATATGAGAAGAATGAAAGTCATGAAACACAAGATTTGGTTTTAGTTAAAACCCTTGGTTATTTAACTTTATCTGTGATGCTAGCAATAAGCAATAGCAATTATTTAAAGAAGCCATAGTGTATTTTCACTCTAGAGACGACGTTTAGTATAAAAATTTGCAGAGGAATTAGTGGGAATTATTTGCTTCTCAGTCACAGATGCCAACTTGAGCAACTTGTTCCCAGCCATTGGTTCATCCAGGCACAGAGAAGTATAGAAGAAAATTGATTTAAAAAATTGGCCTCAGGGGTCATTCCAAAACTCCAAAGAAAACGAATTTGATGGCATCAGTAAAGATTAATTCTAAGGAAAACCATAATCTTTGTCATAAAATATCACTTGCTGGGGGCCTGTTTCTGGATCCTTCCCTTAGAGAGTCTAGCTTGAATAAGAATTGCAGCATAGTATTGTGATATATGACTTAACACTAAAGAAGATTTTGTGTATGCATTACAAGAAAAAGACCCCTTAATGGAGCCCATAACACTGGATATTGCTTGACATTCAGCAGGTGTGATCTTCTACCAACTTTACTAAGCAATTTTTGAAACACAGTTGATAAAAGATGAAATTGTTCTTTACACAGGTCTTTCCTGGTAGGGTGAAAATGAGAGCAATTCGCTTAGGTATGTGTGGAGGATATCTTGTCCCCATGCGGAATTTTGTGCAAAAGTTGAAACCTGTGTCACACAATCTCACAAAGATTACGGAAACAAATGCCTTGACATCGTGTAGATCCCTGTAGGCTCTCTCTTTGGCATGTTTCTCAGACAATAAAAGCATGCAATCACCTCATCTGCCTATGACCACTGCTAAGAGCCAATTTGGCTTTTGTGTTTTCTTTCAGGTTGTACAGGAGGAAATCCCCATTCCTTCTAGCTTTTGTGAGGCTGAGTTACCTGAGCAGCCGCACCCCTGGCTACAAAACGCTGTACGGGATCTTCTGACACATTCAACAATTCGTCGGGAATGATAAAAGTACACCTCACCGTAAGCATCGTGAAGCGGACTCACACAGAAGTGGTTTCCGTTGCGCGGCAGTTATCTCAGTGCTACACGTCTTGCCTGGAAAAGACTACATCTATGAGCAGAGGGTTTGGGCTGCAGAGCTTCTACGGTATGTTACATCTTCATATATAAATAGCGAGTATTATGTTCACAAAACCAGAAATGCTAGTTGCATATGTACATTTGTTTGAATAATATGATTTTCTTCGTGTTTAAGAGATCGCTAAGCATTTTTTCATTTAAACACTCCTTTAGGCCCATTTAGATTCACTTTTTGACACATTCTTGCTTCAAATGATTTTAGTTCCCCTTTCATGATGGCTGCATACCAGTGGAATCACGCAACGATTGTAACTGTCGTCCAGATGCTGAATGTTGCCTTCTAACTGTGACCTTTGGTGTGGGTTCTTTAGCCATGTTTTGGATTTGAATTTAGAATGCATATTCAACTTAGAAGAACTACAAAATGCTAACTTATAGGCATTCACATTATTATTCTTTATGTCTAAGTAGTTTAGGACTCCATATAATCTTGTTCTATTTTGTAGGTTAAATAAACTCATCCTCCTCTATTCCTTTTGATTTTTGTAATCTCAAATTTTAAACTAGAATTATTATACATAAACAGGGACTTAGGGATTTTTTAGGCCTATGGTTTATCAGATATGTTACTTTTCTTGACAAATGGATTGAAAAAAATTGACTAAGATGGATTTGCCAAATTTTTATTTTGGTCAAGTAAGAATAATTTTAAAAAGGAAAAAAAAACTCAACTGTAATATTACTAATTTCAGGTATCCACAACATAATTCTAAAAATGAGGAATATACTTAACACAAAAAAAGGAACAATAGTCTATCTTAAGAAATGACGTAAGCAATCTAACCCTACAAACTCAGAGAACAGAGACAGATACACAGCAAAAGTCTTTATATTCTCAATCACTCTGTAGAAGGACAGGGAAACTTCCTAAGGGACCTGGTGCAGGTCTCGTGGACTGCGTTGGACAAAGCCATTGGATCCTTGTGAACTTCAGGCATATCTCATGGAAAACACCGCCCCGCGTAGACACTACGTGAGCGGTAGAACATTTCCTATATTTTTCTAAACAGGACTCTCCCCAGAGGACATTATTCACATAACCCCTTGGAAAGTTCTAATCATGGAACAACTCTCGGTATAGCACTGACCTATATTTTTTAGACAACTGGTGTGTTCAATTTCTGGTCTTTCTTTATTAAATGCGCGCCAAAAATAGTAGGAGATATAATGAGGATGGTAGATATATAAAATAGACTAAGTATAGTTCCCTTCTTTCTGTGTCAATGTTATGGATAGTCTCTCAGCTTTAAGAGCTAACTAACTATTTATCTCAATAAACTAGTAAACTCATCTTATTTGGCCTGTGGTTGAAGTGCAAAGAACATAGACAGCTGGACCTCTCTTTTTTTTATTTCTCAGTTTACTCAGAGAATTATTGTTTATCTTCTTT